GCTGTTGCTGCGGCTGTTGCTGCTGTTGTTGTTGTTGTTGCTGTTGTTGCTGCTGCTGTTGCTGCTGCTGCTGCTGCAACTGTTGATTCTGCGGTACAATAGGTGGAGATGGTGTAACTCGAACTGCATTCGAGCAACTGGTGACGACAGAATTTTCCGGACAATAAGCGACTACTGTGCCCGTTGCTGGTGATATAGCGGTATTCGAGCCAGGAGAATAAGTAGATTTTCCGGAATAGTGAGAAACCATTGTTGGCGGGGCAGATAATGTAGGCAGTGGTCGGCAGTGTTTCGGTGATGTACTGACTACAGGTTGTTGAGACGAAGACTGAGCTGTCGCTGTAGCCGTAGCTGACATTACAGTGACAGCATTCGCCTGTAACGATTTCTGCTTATTTACTGTAGTGTGAGTGGACTGCATCACGGTGGTGGCTGTATGCGTAGAGGCAGTGATTTCAGATAACTTCGCTGCAAATGTTTGCGTGGTGCTCGTAGTCACAATTTTTGTCGCTCGTCCGGCCGTCATAATCGCGCTCGTATAGGACATTGTTGTTTTCGTGTTCGACGACGAAGCCATTTGAGCAGCCACAGCCTGGGCGCGTTTCTCAGCTGCACAGGCAAAAATCATTAACTCGAAACAGTTACTCGAAATCTCGATTAAACTCAAAATCTCGATCATCTTCGCGAGAACTTGTAACTGTCTTGTTACGCGACGTTCTAAATAATATTCGACTGGTTTACGTACGTGTAACAAGACTGTCGGCATGTTTGCCGCTGCGCGAAAGTTCAACGGAATTATCGTGAAAGAATGACGGTTAGGCAAGAATGATGTTACCTGCAGCGACCAGTCGGGGAGCCGTTGCACGTGGCAGGGGCGTTGGAAATGCTCCGCTAAGTTTGATAGTAGACGACGATCGAAGCGGAATTAGCTGATTCACGGTAGAAACCCCCGATGCGTAACTGGATTTATTAATTTGCGTACTATTGGAATTTGATGTTAGACTCAGAGGTTTACTTACAGGACCCAATTTTGCTTTGCTCGACTAAAATTTCAGGAAAATTACACATCAACACAGAATAAATTGGTCGCTCGGTTAGGTCAGAGTAGAAGTAACGCGTGCGTATAGGTGGAATACATCGTTCAATCTTACAGCTATCGTGGAAACAGTTTTATCCCAAGTAGAGGTCGTGACAACGGCCAGTTTCGATTTCGGAAGCATCTGCAATATGTCGACGTCAGGATCTTTGATCAGCGCTGCGATTAACGTGTGAGCCTGTTTCGTTGCGTCCGATGATCCCCTAAAATTCCACGAGTCGTTTAAATAGGAGAGATTGTCATTGAAAGAAATCAAACAAGATTACTAGATTGGTAAGGTTTTTCAGTACTTGATAGTAATAATTCGTTCGCCTTGACATTTGCTTTGTTTCTCTACTTCGATATGAGCACCCGTGGCACCTCTAATAGCATTTATGTTACTGCCGCCTCTTCCTATCACCCGACTGATAGCGTTCGGTGGAACAGAAACTTTCTTCGAACGGAACGGTGAATTCATAAATCTTCCTGAATCGTCCGATTGTCCCCTGTTTCGAAAGTATTTTCGTTTATTTGCTTTCTTATATTATATCCTCTCGTCTCGCGGTAACACGGTAATAATCGACATAACCTTGACGCGCGAGATGCGCCCACAGGATTAATCGATTAAACGAACATCTCGGACGGATAGAATATTAATTAATTAATTAATTAATCGATTAAACGAATATCGGGGACGGATAGAAACGGATAAAACTGGTTCTCTTACTTTCGCACGACTTCTTTCCAGCCCTCCTCGCGTTTGCCGCCCTGTTTCGGACTTGTCGTCGAGGTGTTCGTCTTTGTAGTTGCGCTCAACGAGTCCCCGTCGTATTGATTGCCATACGACTTCTTGCCTTTGCCGGGTATATACGTTTCGTTGCCAGTTGCTTCGAAATCCTCTCTGTCGGCAGGATGCCTGGACGCCTCGAACACCAACTGACCTTTCAATTTTCGCTCGCTGGAATTCACGGTCGAAGACCTGCCACTCGTCGCGACGGAAGTCGTGGTCACGGACACACCGTTGGTGACGTTGGTCGGTATTCTTCTGGAAATTCATGAAGAAATTGTCAATGAAACCGTTTAAGAACCGCCTGTTGGATCTACGGAAGCTATCCTATTCGATTCGACTTACTTCTCGGAAGTATTGTTGTTCTGAGACTTGGTCGGCGTGATGGAGTTTTGAGACAGCGAATTACTTTGAGCGATAACGGTTTTCGGTGATCTCTGGGGAGACGTGTCTTTCTCGTTGTTAGCGGGGCTGTTGGTCTTCTTTTTCTTCTTCTCTTTCTTCTTCTCCCTCGCTTTGACGTCGTTACTGCTGCAGCTACCTTGACTGTTCGCGTCTATTCCACTGTCACCCTCCTCCCTGTCGGGGTCTTCCGGACTTCTATTGACAGGCGATGGCATACTGTCCATTCTTTCGCAGCCGTCGCCGGCTTCGTGTTCGCTGTCGTCCGCTCTGTCGCATTCCTCGTCCCCAGATTTCTTACCATTCTCTTCCTTGTCTTCGTACGCACCTTCGTTCTTTTTGTATTCCTCGTGTAATTTTCTCTTCTCCTCCTTCTTCTCAAGCTTCTTTTTCTTCTTTCGCTCTCGTCTACGAGCAGCCGCTGCCTTCTTCGATTCTTCCCTGGTTTTCTCCATATCGAGCTCCTCCAATAGTATCGACGCGTTTTTATTCGCTTTGGCAGCCTGAGTCTCTTTCGCTGCTCGAATTACTTTAACGCATTCCTGGCATTTTTCGAGAAGTTCTTTATCACTGACGGTAGCTATATACCTCGTCATTTCTTGGTCACTTGGAAACTGAGTAACATGATGTACCATCCACTTTACAACTTTAATATGTCCCTTGCGGAAAGCGGCCATTAAACAGGACACCTGCGTTTTGAAAAGGTGTTTTTGTGTCAAATGAAAAGGACGAATCTAAACGAGAAGACTCCGCGCGGAGGGTTTCGATTCACCGAAAAGTTTTATTCGGAAATACATACTTTACGATTATCTTGCGAATCGATATCCGCACCAGCATGATACAGCAAATCAACGACGTTCAAGTGTCCTCCGTTTGCTGCTAACCATAATGGACTGTTTCCTTTTTTATTTTTTACCTCTACTTGTGTCCCTCTATAATATAACAGAGAACAGTAGAGACAACATTTACAGAAATGATATAGAAGAACGCTTATAAACGCGAATCAACTGAATAACAAATGCTCACCTTGATAATAATAATTCTACGAAACGGCAGTGTCCTTTGTCGGCGGCAATAGTAAGAGCAGTGTCGCGAGACGACGGAACAGGAGTAGCGTTCACGTCTGCTCCTTTGGTAAGTAAAACACGTCCGACTTCCACGTAACCACCACTCGCAGCTTCCATTAGCGGAGTTAAACCAGTCTACACAAAAGAAAACAATCTACCGTCAACTATTCGTATAAAATACCGAAAAGCTATTATACGTTTTAACTTGTCCCGCCAATAACGAACAATTACACGAATCTATAAATGTAGCGCATACACGAAAGCACGTGTCCGCGTGTACCTTAGCACGATGTTCGACGTTGGCTTTGCGATCGAGAAGTAGACTGACTACCTCGTGTCTTCCTTGAAAACACGCCAATGTCAGCGCTGTATTACGATTAGTCTCAATTTGAGCATTTATGTCACTGCCCATATCCAGTAACAACTTCACCGCCGCTATAATTCATTATCGATTAAGTTACATCGTTCGAAATTCCGTACATCTTTCTAACGTTAACAATAACTTTATGATATAGACATACCAACGTGACCGTTCATAGCGGCAAGCATAAGCGGAGATATACCTAATTTGGAACCAGTCCTGGAATTAATTTCAGCACCATGATTCAGAAGAAGTTTTATTATATTAACGTAACCGCCGGATGCTGCCAGACTCAAAGGTGTGTAATCAGAAACATTACGATGTTCTTTATTGGCACCCCGATTAAGTAAAAGTTCTACCACTTCGTATCTGCCACCACTACAAGCAAGAGATAATGGTGTATCCTTAGTACGTTCAGACTGAGCTTCAATGTCAGCCCCATGATTCAAAAGGGTCTCTACAACTTTGTGGTGGCCGGCTGTTGCAGCCAATATCAGCGGAGTGAACCCCTTTTTGTCTCTATGTTCTAAAAAATTCAGTACGCAACGTTGTTTAAACTTACGTGTAACAGAATAACAAGGAATATACAATAAGATCATATCTTAACACGGTTACCTATATCTGCACCGCGACTCAACAAAAGTTCCGCCAACTCTACGTGGCCACCGGCACACGCTAAAGTCAAAGCCGTGTCGTGATTACTATCCGTTTCAGAATCTACATCCATACAAGAAAATGGTGCAGGCGGTACTTGATTAGTCGTGTAACCCCCAACTGTCGGGACGCCTGTCGTGTACTGACCAGCAACTAAAATCACAAGTACGTGAGAGAGAAATAGAGAGGAAGAGAGAGAGAGAGAGAGAGAGAAATAGAGAGAGAGCCAAACTTCTCTTACCTGCCGTTGGATCTAATTGGTAGTTTTGACTGGTAAAATTCGGAGTTTGTTGTTGGGTATTGGCAGTCTGTTGCTGTTGGCATGATTGTTGTTGAGGCAAAAGCGGGTATCTTCCCTTTTTTCCTTTACCGGTCGCTGGCGCGGTATAAACTTGCTTTTTGTCTGAAGCAACAATAGTAGCAGCAGTCGTCGTGACTGGAGCTTGAGTTTGAGTAGCCACTTGAACTTGATTGGCGTTACAAGCTGTCGATTGTGTATAACCATTCGTTTGATGGGATATACTATCTATCATTCCACTGGTTTCGGTTACATTCGGTAGAGCTTGCATAGGAAATGCTAAACACATAAATATGTATTTAACACGTGTACAGCAGAAACATTGAAAACATTTACATGAAAATGAACATATTGGTTTTTTATAAGACTCACTTATTTGCGAAGATTGGAGTAATAGTTGCGGTTGAAAACGACATCGTAAACCCTCAAGATATCCTTCTTGAAACTCTTTCAAATCTTTTAAGTCTTTCAAGTCTTTAAATGGCTGATTTTGTAAAGGCTGTGTACTGGTTAATTGTAGACCGGCTGATATGTCTGCTTGTATTTGAACACCAGCACTGGTGACTTGAAGTGAAGGCAAAGTTGGTAACGAAACCGAAGGTACTGATAACACAGGATTGGTAAAATATTCTTGAGACGTGTAAGGACTGGTCGTCTGTTGAACTATTTGCGCATTTTGTAATTGTTGTTGTTGTTGTTGTTGCTGCTGCTGTTGTTGCGGCTGCTGCTGCTGCTGTGGTTGTTGTTGCTGTTGCTGCTGCTGCTGTTGTTGTTGCTGTTGCTGCTGTTGCGCGTGTTGTGAATCTTTACTACTTGATATTTCTAACCTTTTCAATTCAAGCTTTTCTTGATCTTCCGTTGCTAAGAAAACAAAGAACATTAGAAAAATATGTTTCATCAATAATGCTGATGCAAATAATTACCATCAACGGTATCGTCGAAGCTAATAGAACGAAAAATTTCAAAAGCATCATCTAAGGGAATATGCGTGCCGTCTTCTAATTTTATAACACTCTCACTGGTACAAAGTGCCTTTGCTTTTTGAGCAGCAGCAACGAAAGGACAAGCACCATCTCGATGCAGTCTTGCCAATTCAGGATCTGCTTGCTCCGTTAGAGTTTGTTGTGTTGATTGCTAAAAGTACAAAGAGCGTGGATTGGAGAACATAATCGTCAATATTCGCATTATAAAAATAATTTATAATTACTTGATCGTGAAGATGGTGTGCATGCGCTGAATGGAGATGGGACATTAATTGAGTAGGCATGAGTATGTTGCTTGCATTAGCAGTCACTGCTCCAGATTCTTGCTGAGATTGTGAATGTTGTTGCTGTGAATGTGTTTGCATCGATTGTTGAGTTTGCGGTTGCTGAGGTTGCTGCTGCTGTTGTTGTTGCACCTAATTGAATATATAATGTTTTCATTTACAATACACAGTATCATAAAAACGCAGAAAAAAATCATCACCTGTACTTGATCAAGCTGTAATTGAAGCTGTTGATTAAGTTGCTGCAGTTGATGCACCTGTTGCACTTGATAGGTATGTTGACGTTGTTTCTGCTGATATTGCTGTTGAAGTCCAGCCATCAAAGTTGCCTG